TGTGACAAGAAAGTGACCAAGTTACTTTATCAAATTATTAACTACATTGGTCAGACAAATAACACAATCAACATTCTACATAAGTAACCAAGTTATCTTCACAAATTCAATCAATTTAAGGTTAAAATCTAAAAATATTGTCACTCAGATTGCTTATGTTAAGCTAATTGCTATCATTAAATTTAAACTGTGCCTTTTGTAGGTGGATATTTCATATGTCTCAATACTATAAAATTTAAAACTCCATACACTTACAGTTTACTTAGTCAGCACCAGTAGCAGAGTTTCTCATTAATTTCAATCCTTAAAGTGTACTTAATAACCAATGTTTACGAAATAACTTCATTCTTCTACTCACTTTTTCTGTCTTTTTTTGGCAACTGTCTGCACCTTACTTTTCCCAAAATGTCTTCTATTAACCAACCATCTATAGAAAAAACAAAGTATGTCTGAGAAGTTCAACTTAGTCACCTTTCTTAATGATAGTACTTGTGACTGAATTACAATAAATAACAAAAACTCTTTTCAAAAATTTTAAAATGCAACTTCATTTAATAAATATAGAAAATTTAATAAAAATATGGATGGAAGATTGAAATGAAACTCATGGCAAATAAAAACGAATTTTTAAGTATGGTTTCTCAGGCAAGTTTGTCAACAGCAATAACTGGATGGTAATGACAGTAGGCATCTGTCTATCCAGATCTCTACAGACGCAAATTACATCATCCTTGAAACCATCTCCTAAATTATCTAATGTTCCAAGATTTCACTTATATATAGAATAAATGAGCAATGATACTTGACTAAATACAATCATTAAATAAAATTTTATACATTTAACGAGTAACGAACTATCACCAACTGTTTTACACGGCTAGATACAAAAACATTAAACTAGATTGGAAAATGATATAATCAAATATTATATTTATACTCAAAACCAAATTAAACTTTCTAATCACGTGGTATGTACAAAGTGAAATGCTGGTTACAATATATTAAAAAGATGGAAGATACAAATGCCCTTCTAATTGTAAAGTACAATGTTTTATTTGTAACATCAAGTTCCTAGTAAGAGTTAGAAAAAAGTTTTCCTACTGCATTTAATACATGTAGTAAATTCAACTACACACATTCTCTAATCTGTACGAATAGCTTTGAAGTGTTCCCCCCCCCAACAATTTATTCCACTGTTTTTAACATCATTTCTAATCACATGGTATGTACAAAGTGAAATGCTGGTTACAATATATTAAAAAGATGGAAGATCCAAATGCTCTTCTAATTGTAAAATACAATGTTTTATTTGTAACATCAAGTTCCTAGTAAGAGTTAGAAAAAAGTTTTCCTACTGCATTTAATACATGTAGTAAATTCAACTACACACATTATCTAATCTGTAAGAATAGTTTGAAGTGTTTTCCCCCGCAACAATTTATTCCACTGTTGTCAACATCATTTCGAAACTTTTTAAACACCTAAAAAAAATCTTACTTAAAGTTAAATATGACAGAAAATTAAGATAATTCACTCACCGATTA